TACTCCAGCTTGGCTGTATCCTAGGTTTGTGACTCTTAAGGTAAAATATTTCTTGCTTTTCTTAAAAATAGGTTAGAAGAGAACTGAAGTAGGCTGAAAAATGTCTTCCCGAGCTATGAAGTCTTAATCCCTGGAACCTGTAAATGTTACTTTATTTTGGAAAATCGGCAAAGACCCTTTGCAGGTGTGATAAAGCGAATGCTCTCCAGATAGGGAGATAATCCTGGGTCATCGGGGTGTGCCCTAAATGCAATCACGTGCATGCTTATAAGGGGCGGGGGAGACAATGTGACCACGGAGGGAGAGATTGGAGTCATGAAACCACAAGTCAGAAGCTGGGAGAGGCAAGGAACGAACTCTCCAGATCCCCTGGAGGGAGCACGGCGCTGGGACCCCTTAATTTTGGGCTTCTGGCCTCCAGGGCTCTGAGAGAACAAGTTTCTGTTGTTATAAGGCATCAAGTCTGTGTTACAGCAGACAGAGGAAATTTTACCACAATTAAAAAAACAAAACAAAACCATTCTTTTAAAAAAAAGAGAAATGATCGCGTCTGTGTTTGTAATGTGTCCTGGGTGGCAGATGTGTCTGTCCTTGGCACCATGGTTTCTACGTGTGGGACTGGTGGGGTCGGCAGCCGCAGCACTGCTCCTGCCCAGCTCTGCTCTGATGATTTTCCAAACCTCCTGCCCTGCTTTCCACTCCCGAGTGGCGGTTTGTGTCTTGCAGTCCCAGTTGCTGCCTCCCATTGCGATGCTCTCCCACATCCACACCTGCTGTTTTGTTCTCACTAATGGCAGCTGGGGAGTGTAGCAGCTTCCGGTCCCTGTTGGAGTCGGCATTGATGGGTGGTGGGAACAGCCAGGTGGGCTTTGTTTCCCCGTCTCTGTCACCCTCCCATATTTGGGGATTTGATAAATATCCCGATCCTGAAATGAAGAGTGGCCTCTCGAACGTTCCTCTCCGAGGTTTTCGTTTCAGAGTGGCATGGTCCGCTGGGACCCCTCCCCAGCTTTCTGTAGTGAAGGCCAGGGTTCTCTGCGGAGGGGACTTGGGGAATTGTCTGGGGTGCTCAGTCATTAAGTGACTCGTTTATTGATCAACTACTAGAGTCACAAATCAGAGCATTTTAAGACTGGTTCCTGGAGATGATCTAACCCGTTTTCCTCATCTTACGTCTGAGAAAACACAGGCCCCAACTGTTGCCTCTTAGCTGAGCGATAATACAAGATAACCTGAGGCTTAGTCCGCGTTGCCCACCTGCCTCCGTCCCTCTCCACCCACAAACTGTGCTAAAATGTGTTGGTGGGCAATAGCTGTCATTATATTTAATTTTATAAACAGCTGATATTTACTGAAGCCATTCTATGTGCGAGGCACTGCTTTTAGCGCTTTTCCTGTATTAGTCTGTTTCATTGTCATTAAAACCCAAGAGGTAGGTGCTATTATTAGTAGAGAGTGTCTAGGCTTTATAATTAGTCAAACCTTTAAATTTTGGGACCATCGTTTGCTAGTTAAATTTAAGCCTCATATATAAAATGGGGATGGTAGTGCCTCAGGCCCTCAGTAAATAGTTCTAGGTGAAAGGAACAGGTAGAGGAACAGATAAATTACGTGCTCAGAAAAATACACATAATTAAGAAATACCAGTCAATAAAATGTTAACAAACCCAGGGGCCTGTGTGTTTCCTCCGAGCCTGTGACATGAGCCTTTTGGTTCATTCGTTTTCCCATCTGGGAAATGAGGATAGTAATATTTGCCTTATAAGATTGTTCTAAGGACTGGATGGGAGAATAATATACCCAGTGCATAGCACAATGGCATGAAGTTAGTGATCACCCCACACATGGCAGCAGTTTCTATTTGCTCTTGAGGTACTTGAAGGGCAAACGAGGAATGCATTGTCATTTGGCTGTGGGGTGACTGTTAAATCCTGTTCCAAGATCTGCCCTTTGAACAGGACAGCCAGCGTGAAGTACAGATGACTCAGTTTGAACAAGGATATCTTGACCCCAAAGGGCAGCAGAAAGAGCTCTCTCCACCATCAGCCCCAGCCAGAAAATTCCTCACTGCCTAATGGGAAGGCACAATGGACAGAAGGAGCTACTGGCTGGGTGCAGATGCATCTGTCCACAGTCACACCGTCTATGCGCATGAGTCATGGGCTGTGTCCTCAGATGTGGAGGGCAGGGACAGGGAACAGCATGCCATCAGACCTATCTGATGGGGTGAGTGGAACTGTGTTTTAGAAGGATGGTTGAGCCTAACTCTTTTTCCATTATAAGCTCTATGTTAACTTGGGCAAACTCTGCTAATTATTTTTTCCAACTTAGAGGAGTATGTACTGACCTCTGCTCTGTACCAGGCACTGTATTAGGTTCTGGGAAGACAGAAGAGACATGGTTTCTGCCCTTGGGCAGTTTATAGCTCCCGGGATACATGGGCAAGGAAGTAGCAATAGCAGGTGCACACTGGTGCTATGGCTGTATTTACACGCGCGTGTGTGCGGCCAAGGCATGTGTCATGGTCTGAGTATAAACTCATGAATTTTTCTCATTGGAAGGCCTCTTGACAGATGACTCATGATCTTGTTTTCTCTTTTAATATATCATTTATATTCATCAGGATGGATTAGGTTATGCTATTTATATGAACAATCCCTAAGTCTCCATGGTTTAACTAATAAGGATTTATTTCTTACTCATGTAACACACTCATCTGCAGTTGGTATGTGTGTACGTGGAGGGTTCCTGCTCTGTGTTAGTCGTACTCTGGGACCCGGGCAGGTTCCACTCCCTGGAATGTCCTAGATCACAGTGGCTGGAGGAAGTTGGAAACCGGGGAATCATGTTCTGGCTCTTAGCAGGCTTTTGCTTGTAGTCGGTTGGCCAAAGGCAGACACACAGTCGCTGTTCACCTCCAGGAGCTGAGGAAGATCGGGTCTACCTGGGACTGGGACGTGACAGCCCTCGATTATTCTGACCAACTTCACATTTGAATTCCTAAGCTAGAGGATGTAACAAAACAGTGCATTGAAAAAGGAGCTTGAGAAGGTGGCCAGAAACATGAAAAGGAGTGACAGCCTGACCTCTAGGAAAAGTACAGGAAAGTCATTATCTATAGCGATAAGGTCAGATAGATCCACTGTGTAGAGCTGATGGCCTGCACACCTTTGTAGCTCCTGAGGGCACACAATGCTGTTGCAGCATAGTACAACTTAGTGCTACACAGTGCCTTGGCCAGGCACCGAGCCAAGCTTGGGGATGCGTAAATTACTGGGATCATTAAGAAAAACTTAGAATATATTTATTATATTGGTTATAAGAAGAGGGAAGTATCTTTTCACTTAGTTAAAACTAAATGTAACAAAAACAGTAAGCCTTTTGTTACCTAAAAAAGTCACTCAGGGGCCCCTGGGTGGTTCAGTTGGTCAAGCGCCTGACTCTTGGTTTCGGCTCAGATCGTGATCTCAGGGTCGTGAGGTTGAGCCCCACGTCAGGCTTCATGCTCAGTGCAGAGTCTGCTTGAGATTCTCTCCCATTCCCTCTTCCCTTCTCTCCCTGATTTCTCTCTCTCTCAAAGTCAGTAAAATCTTTAAAAAAAAAAATCACTTAAATGGAACTTGGGTACAGTGAGGCATTGCTGTTTATGGTTTTCCGTTTCTTCATGGGTAGTTTGTAAGTGCTTGATCTTTTGGGCAGACTCTAGTCTTATCTCCCTTGTTCCTTTTTTCCCCTTATTTATCATGCTTATGATTGTTGAGAATTTCCAGTAATATATTGAAAATTGAGCCACTTTGCTGCAAGTATGTATGGACACACGCACACACACTTTTTCTATTAGGAGAAATATGGGCTTCAGCAAGCAAAAGGTCATTGGTTGGGGTCAGAGAGGACCCAGGACATCATTTTGGAATAGTCCTACCTGGTATCTCTGCTCTGTTCTCTTTCTCAGCACACGCTCTTCCACATCCTTTATACAGGTGGCTGGGAAGAAAGCTCCTTAAATACCTGGGGCTCGCTTTCCCAGAGATCTGCACTAGCTAATCAGTCAGACATTTATCAAGCATGGTTTATATCCCCCAAGGCTTGGTGGAAAAAGAAAGAGAAGTGTAAGGTCTGGCCCCCATGCTCTAGGAATTTACAGCGTGGAGATGGGGAGAGAAATCAGTATTTGCTTGCTTTGTGCACACACTGTTCCAGGCTCTGATAGCGCCTCATTTAACTCTACAGTAGGCTTCAGTAGCTGCCAGTTTTTCTACTTTAGGATGAAGCTAACTTTGTCATGCTTCCATAGTAAGTGGCAACATTTGCTTGTGAAGCCAGGGCTCTCTTTAAGCCCATTCTGCCCGAGGCACCTGGGTGGCTCAGTCAGTTAAGCGTCTGCCTTCGGCTCAGGTCATGATCTCAGGGTTCTGGGATCGAGCCTCGCATCGGGCTCCCTGCTCAGCAGGGATTGTGCTTCTCCCTCTGCCCACCCCCTGCCCCCTGCTCATGCTCGTGCTCTCTCTCTCTCTCTCTCTCTCAAAGTCTAGTCTGCCCTTGCTATGATATCTGCCAGCCAACACAGCATTCAGAGATTTCCCTAAAGCAAAGTGGGATCTCAGGAGGACAGAGATTTTTGTTCTATTAAGCACTTACGTTCCCAGTGACGACCCGGGAGCCTGGCTTAGATACTGTGATGATTTAAGAAAGGCTCCTGCCCTCAAGGAGTGAGCAGTCTCCTTACCGCTGTGAAGGTGACGATAAGTACATCAAATCAGCGCAGGGGGTCCGTTATCACGGGCACTGGCCCAGACAAAGGTGCCTCCCTCGCATGGAGTTCATGAGAAGTGCTGACGGCACTCCGCCCGGGTGTGACCCTGCGTGACTGGGTTTTAGCCAGTCACTCCTACGCTCCTGCACAGCGGCAGGACAGGAAGGAGCGAGCACCTTGGGAGGTGAGGTAGCAAGCCCCATCAAGATGCTGTATGAACAAGAGGGGCTGCGTGCAGATGCCAGCCTCAAGATGGAGAGAAGCGCTTGGTCTTCGCGATGCTAAGCATGGGGAATAAAAGAGAGGGAGGAGCCTGAGAGGATCTGCACATTCCTGGCTTGGGCAGCTAACTAGCCGGGTAGTGGCGGACCAGGAGAGGGACCAGATGGAGCAGAGAAGATAATCCTGTTTCAGACAGACAAGACCATGGGCTTATGAGTCAAGCTCTCTGAGTTCTCTACTATTAGCTTAGATTCCTGTAATATGGGAATAGAAATTGTACCTCCCCCCATAGGGGTTTAATAAGGATGAAATGAAGTCATGCACATACGGCACTTAAAGTTTGAGACGTAGGTGCTGGCTGCGGATAATTACTAATAACCAGTAGTTAATAGCTGATAAAGAAGATGGACAAAATACAGCTTACTGCAGTGGGGGATTTTTAATTTATTTGTTTTGTAGTTTTATTAACCCAAATGCGATGTGCACGTAAGCTGTCTGTCTGCTTTCTTCACTGTGCAGCCTGGCATTGGGATTGGCTGGCTGGGCTGCTCTTTGCACGGTGGGTTTGTGGCAGCCACTGTGATCTGTCTCTGCACCGTGAGACGTGTGGCTCATCAGCAGCACATCATGCTCCTTGACGTTGTGGACTAGGAACTTCCGGAAGCCACTGGGCAGAGTGTGCTTTTTTTCCTTGTTGCTCCCGTAATCAATGCTGGGCATCAAGATCTGGCCCCCGAGTCTTCTGTGCACCCTGCTGTCTGTGCCTCTGGGTTTCCGCTGGTTGCGCTTAATTTTGACGTACTGGTCTGACTGGTGCCTGATGAACGTCTTGGTCCTCTTTTTAATGATCTTGGGCTTCACCAGGGGTCTGAGTAGGAGATGGCTGCCCCCTTCTCGGGCAGCGCTGAGGAAGAGAGTACAGTAAGGAATTGAATATCTGGTAACCTGTATTCTCATTTTCAAGAGTTGGGGCCAAATGCTATATAGGAGCAGATAAAGGAAAAAAAGTTAATCAGATATCTGTTATATGGTCAGGCTCTATGCCAGATCCTATCCTAGGTATTTTGCAAAATTTTATTGACTATTTTAACCATCCCATTAGAGCAGGCTGACTAGATCCAAGAATGTATAATGATTCAAGAGGTTTATTTCTCATTCCCCAAAAGAGTCGGTTGGGGAGAGTAAAGGAGCAGGGTGGTGTGTCTGCTCCACGCAGTGACTCGGGCCCTCGTATGGTCTTGAAGCTCTGGACCCTGATGTCCAGCCAGCACGGGGCAAGGGCAATGAGCATCCTTGACGCTCACGTCCCGCTGGTTAAAACTGAGTCCCAGCGTCAGACCTCACTGCAAGGAGGCTGAAAATGGTCTCACCCCCATGTGCGGAGCTTGGCAAACAGCTGGCTCTCTCCACAAAGGGCCCAACTTATAGGTGAAGGGGCTGAGTTTTGGAGAAACGGATACATTTCTTGAAGGATTATTTATGGAAGGCAAGATGGACGGCTGAGGGATTTGTGGGTGAAGTGAAGTGGATTTAGTGGGATTAAGTAATTAATAAAGGAGGGATATTTGCAGTCAAGGTAGTTGAGGCAACTCCTGGATGGTGTCCCAGGCAATGAGCTGGTGCTAAGGAGGCATGGTGGTGAGGGTTGTTGGCACCTGAAGGTAAGGACTAGGAAACGCCGTGTGTGGACGAATAGCCACGGGCCTGCTGGAGCTGCTCTGGATGGCAGTATAACTGGAAAGGGAAGGAGAACCCAAGATTTGTCAGAAATGGCAGAGGAATGCAGAGTTTATGGCCAGAAGGTCCAAACTTCAGACAAGTCAACCAGAGCATTTTTATGAGTGGAATAACTTACTTGTTTAGCCCTGCCGTGTGCACATTGTAGGATGGTAGAGAGCTTGGAGCTCATGTGCCCTGTGGGAGAGAGAAAATGAGATGCGATGACAGGGCAAACCAAAACCAGCTGTCGTGATCCATACTTTCGGATTACAGAGGTTATGGGAGCCTGTGTGAACTTGGAGGTTGTTTAGCATCTGGATAAGGCTGCCGGTGAAAGGGAAAGTGCAGTTCTCTTCCCATGGGTGGTTTTTGAAGTTGCTTTTGAGCTCGGGGATAAATCATTCTATCGGCCCATGTTTATTGAACACGTACCATGTGCCCCCAGATTTGCAGCACCGGTTCCTAAGATGGCGAGAAACGGGCGTAAGGTATAACCCACCGCCTGAACTGGAGCCTGCTTGTAGTGAGGACACACTCCTGGGGGAGTGGGCGAGGGCCTGAGGGTCCTTTCGGCATCCAAAGGAGTCAGTGATTGATCACAGCACCCAAAGCCCCAGGAGGTGGGACCGCCTGGGTTCTCATCTGCCGAGTTCTGTGAGCCATTGTCAAGTCACTGGGCTTGCTGGTCCTGGGTATCTCATCTGTTGAAAAATAAACCAAAGAGCATGGGCAAGGCTTCTTTGTTTTCATTATTCAATAAGTATTTGCTGTGTACCATCTGTTCAGGTCTGTGGGGCCCAGAAGGGTAGGACGCAGAGCTGCTGTCCTCAAGAAGCGAAGGAGTTAGATTAATCCGTGCAGAGGGAAAAGGCAAGCTTGTAGGGACTGTCGACAGATATTTATGAGAACCTCTGCCTTACGAGGCTCTGCGCCCAGGGCCACGGCAGTAAGTAGGCTGCCTCCTTCCTGCGCGCTCTCCATCCTTTGCAATCTTGCGCGGCTGCCCTGGGCTCCCCCTCTCCCCTCCTCCTCCCCCTGCTTCCCCTTCTCTCTCCTTATTCATTCAGAAAGTATTCATTGAACACCTCCGGTTATCAGGCTCTGGAGAGACGACCATGAATGAGTGGACAGGGTCCCTGTCCCCATGGAGCAAACATTGTCTTTGGAGCAACAGACTGTCAACAAGCCAACAGGGCAGTTTCAGATCTTCCTTATGTGTTCTGGATAAGCCGGAGGCAGCAGTTTGTGGGGTCATGCTGGATGGGAAGGTCTTGGCAGGGGTGGCATCGTGCTGAGTCCTAAGGAGGCAGAGGAGCTGCCCCGTGACTGGGGGACCAACATCTAATATGAGGGTCAAGGCTTAGCCACGGACATCAGGAACTGAAGGGACCACGGTGACAGGTGCCTCGAAACTCAGGAAGATGGTGGGGGAAGAGTGCATGCACATCGAGACGCATGTAGGAAATGTTAGACCCCTTCCTTTACTAGTCCCTGGCACATAGTAGGTGCTCAGTACATATTTGTGAAAGGGTGAGTGCATCCATACACACCAGCTCTTTGAACCCCCTTCTTTCCCAGCTGCCTCCTCCAGCCTTCCAAGGCAAAACTTTTTACTAAAAGATCTTCTCCCACTTTTCGCATTAAAATGCCCTGGCTGTAAAAGGGCACTCATACACATGAATAAATCTTGTAAACCAGCACTCTGACCTCACCTGCTCTACTGGCTGAGCCCCGGGAGCCCCCTGGTTGGAATCCTGAGCCCCTCACACTTTTGTGCTCCACCTTGAATAGGAAGGGAAATGCCGTTTATTTCGCTCTTATAAACTGGCCATCCTGCCACAGGGAGATTTTAGTATTTGTGCTAGTGTGAGTGTGAGATTTCAGTATTTGTGCTAGTGCTAGTGTGACTATACTTATAGTCATAGTCTGTTTTTATAGGGGAGACCACTAAGGCACAGACTGTCCAAGGTCAAGTGAGTTGTGGAGCTGGGGTCTCATCCTGAGTCCTCTGCCTGTAAAGGCCCCTTTTCCACACGCCGCACCATGCTGTCCCTGCCCCCCCCCCATCTCCTCCCCCCCCCCTTTCCTCAGCCTCCCCATCTGTCAAACGTGGATGATGATTTTGTCCTACCTTACCGCCCACCCCCTCGACAATACTGACCTAGTGGGAAGTTGTAAGGCATAACCAGTAAAAATGACAATGAAGCATTTTGCCAATAGGTGTGCTGCTGAATGTTAATTCACAGTAGAGCCCGCCTGTGATGTGAGGGCACATCTATTACGTGGCTGTTTAGCCAGCGGGTTTCTTCCTGCCCCCAGCTCGGCGAGCAAGCGGTGGCCAGCTCCAGCAGTGCTAGCTCTGTCCTCTATATTTTTGCTCTGTTTCCCTTCTGTGATCTCTCCACATGTGGATTCGGTGACGCTGCAACAACTCAGAAGCTCTTTTGCACTGTGAATTGGGTTCGGCAGCCATGGGAACAGTGGGCACCCTGCTGGGTATTCAGCCATTAACACGGTGGGGGCTGCCCTGAGGGTCTCCTGGTTCTAGAGAGACGAGAGGGGCAAGTGTGTGACCAAGTGCAGTGAGCAGCGGGAAGGCCAAACACGGAGCCCCACGGGAGGAGAGGGAGGAGGCAGCCAGGGCGCCTTCCGCAAGGAGGGACACCTGCGGAGCTTGAGAGGCTGGTCCCGTGCAGGGGTCAAGAGCTTGGACTCTGGAGCCCACCTACCACTTTCTGGCTGGGCGACCCTGGGCAGGGTATTTGATATTTCTCCCTCGCTGTAAAATGGAGATGGTAAGACTTGTACCTCACAGGGTGGTTTGGGGCATTCAGTGAATTAATATGTGCACAGGACTTAGGACAGGATCTGATGCATAAGTACTTGACACTTTGCACACACATGTATTCTGAGCAGCGGCATCCGTACCTGCAGAGGCCTATAGAGGGAGTGTATCTGCAAAGGGCTGAGGTGGGTGGGAGACAAGGTCCTAGGCAAGTGCCCGGTGGGGAAGGCCCTGGTGTGTCCCCGCTGATGGAGAGACTACGTGGAAACTACTGAGCCTCAGCGGTATGTCTTTGACACTCGGTGTGGGTGTGTGTGTATAGGTGTGTACATATACAGATGTGTGTGGGGCTGTATGTGTATTTACATACACATAATGCCTTCACCTGGCGTCTTAGCTCTAGGGACAGATTGATTGAGGAGAATGACTTGAGGGACAGAGGCCCCCAGGGGAGAGTGACAGTCTCTCTGACCAGCCCTTCCAGGAGAGCATTCTGGAATTTGAGATGGCAGAGTGAGAATAAAGTATGTCATGGAGAGGATGTCGATTTTGGGGGTCAGACAGACCTGACTTAGAATCTTGGCTTCAACATATCCATCTAATCTATCTAATCTGTCTGCCTACCTACCTACCTATCGATCGATCAGCTGATTGATCGATCTATCAGCCATCCATCTATTGATATCAATGTCCATCTGCTGTCTGTATCTATCAGTCCATCAAACCAAACTGCCTCTTGAGGGTGAAAGCCTGTGTGCTACTCCGGCCGCTGCCCCTCGCGGTTCCCTGTTGGCCCGTGATTTTCACTCCTTTCCTGTGCAGGCCACAGGGGTCGCTCGTGTCGGGCTGGAGTTTCCATCACCTAGACTCTTTCTGTTTGCGAAAAACAGTGCAGGCATCCAAACACCAGGCCACGCTTTGTGTGCTCATTTAAAGAGAAAACTGAATGCAAAAGAGGGCATGTGTGGTTATAATTGGACTCAGGAGGGTTGCGGGTTTTTGGAGGTGATGAGCAGTTGATGGTCTTATGATGGTCTACAAATGCTGAGCAGCCAGATTCCTACTTCTGAGGCACGTCTCCCCAAGGTCGTCCTCACGTGGTGAACCCTCGTCTCTGCCGAAGCATGAGGCCGAGCTCTCGTGGGGCATCTGTGTGCCTGTGAACACGCATGCCCCTTTGGGGATGTCCCTTGTGCGAAAGGCAGAGGAGCCCCCGCCCTGGTTGCAGCTCTGTTTTGGAACTTCATTTTCACGGCCAGCCTCTTCCCTGAAGTTGCACTACATGTGTGGGTCCCTGGGCTGGGTTGACGGGCAAGTGCCCGCGCTCTGTACACTCTTGAATTCCCAAGAATGGGACTCAGATGAAAAGAGTTGTCCTTTTTTCGGTTGTAGAAGCCTTA